GTGGAAGTTCACAAGATAGCAAGTGGCAGGACTGCTGCTCAAAGCTGGGAAGTGTGCTTCAGAGTATGCATTCTAAAAGATTGTTATAATATCTCTATACATCAGCTATAACTATTTTTAAAATTTAACAGAAAGGGGACCTCATTCATAGTAGAAACAATACCTAGGAACCAAAGTAAAAAACATAAGATGTTTATGAAAAACATATATAAAATTTTAATGCATGACTGTGGCAGATGCTGTCAGTGTCTCACCCATACCCACTTGGCCCAATCTTGAGTCTCCTTCAGCAGTTCCTTTTGCCCACTGGTCTCTCTAAGTGAGGACAGCACCAGCTCATGCAGGAATCATGCCAAAACCGCGGGATACTTCCTACTCAAGAGCAATCCTCAAACAATGAAGGGGACAAATTCTTAAATGAATATACCAGCTTCCTTACTTCTCAGGAGGACAGCCCTGAGCTTTGTTCAACTCAGTGTCTAAGAAGCATCCTAGCAACACTGAGCCCCAGTACCCATAGCAGTACCATTCATTAGCACATCTTCTATTGGCTTTCCTCTCTCTCTGTCTAACCTCTTCATTTTTCACTATGCCTCCAGGGATCACCTCCCAAATATACTATTTTCATCCAAATCCATGTCTTAGGGTTTGCTTTTGAGAGAACACAAACTAAGGCAATGATATACATCAGCTGTAACTAAAAAATCTAAATTACGGAAGAAGCCTGCCATATTACTAAATGGAAAAACAACATTACATGACGTTGAGTCTATCCAAATTAATCTAAAGTTTCAATTCAGCCCCAATTGAAATAGTTTTTTATGGAACTCAGTTTGTGGATTCTAAATTTCATAGGTAAGGGATCACTTAAAGGAACAGGTGAAAGAATTTAGAGAAAGAAAAATTAAAACTATTTGGCCTAAAAAATAATACAATGTACTTTAATGCAATGATAAATAAAACAGCATGCTATTAGCACATGAAAGGCAAATATAACAGAATATAGTTCAGGAAAATTAAATGATAGATAGACGATAGATGATAGAAAAATAGATAAAAATAAATTTCACATTGAAAATCAATAGCTAATGGATATCCCATTCTCCATATGATATTAGGATACTGATTATACATTTTAGGAGGAAAATAAAGTTGTATCCTTATCTCAGATGATACTAATAAATAAATTCATGGTATGTTAAATAATTAAATGTAAATCAAAACTATGAAAATATTTTTAATATATAGTAAATGTTATACAGTTTTTGGGTAGAAAAGATATAAACAGGATGTAAAGCATATCAGAAAACATTTAACTTTTAATTTTATAATAAAACACACCATAATAAACTTAAAAGACAAATGACAGACTAGGATAAACTATCTACAACATATTTAACAAGCAAAGGCTTGAGTTCAGAATATATGAATTATTCCTACAAACCAATAAAAAACATAAACCACAGAAAAGCACATTAGATATTTAAAAAAAAACAACGAATCACACAAAGAAAAAAAAAGTGTCAAACTCACTAATGAACATAGAAATAAGAAAAGGTGCGCAATACAACCACATATTTTTAATTCATTAGAATCAACATAAAAAAACTTTAAAAAAAAAGTTAAAGATCAAAGAAATTCCTAGTAGGATGTGAAGAAAAAACAATTTTATATACACACTTTGGATGTAGGTAATCTGAAGGCAGTTGATCTTTCCATTCAAAATCCATTGTACTAAACAGGTAACATCGATTGCCAACATATACAAAGATTTATATACAAGGATATTTACTGAAACTTTGTGAAAGTTTGGAAATAGTCTAAAGATTGAACAGTAGGGCACGGTTTAAGAAATTACCCAATATCATAACACTTATTGTTCTGAAGAATTTTTTAATATTTAAAAATAGAAAATTACTGACATAAAGTAAATTTGACAGAGCCCAATAATACATTCCTTCCTATTACTCATGGTGGTGGGCATGTAACCTATGTAATTCGAATCAGAATTATATCAGGACTTTGTTTAGGAAAGCTAGATATTGAAAATTCTTGCTTCCCTATTATATGGAATGTAGAAGAATAATAACGATGACCGTCTTGTGACAAGTAACATTAGCCTTTTGATGAAGCCAATATTCCAAACACAAGGATAAAGAAGAAAACGACAGGGCCTTTGAACAGTCGCAATCAGGTTTTCTATTGCTTATACATAGAGGATTTTTAACCAACATGTGGCTTCTTGTCTCCATGTATTGGCCATTGTAAACATTACAATGAACATATGGACACATATGTCCCTTCAAAGTAGTGTTCTGGGTTTCTTCAGATAAATACCCAGAAGTGGGATTACTGGGTCCTTCTTTGTCACTTGTTATAGCCTTGTTTTAAAGACTATTTTGTCTGGTACAAATATTGCTATGCCAGTCATTTTTCTTGTTGTTGTTTGCTTCCATTTTCATGAAATATATTTTCTATCCCTTTACTTTCAGTCTGTGTGTGTCTTTTGATCTGAAGTAAGTCTCTTCTAGGCAGCATATGTAAGGGTCTTGTTTTCTTTTTAAATAAATTTATTGGAGTGACAACAATTAGTAAAATTACATAGGTTTCAAGTATACAATTCTATAACCTATCATCTATATATCACATTGTGTGCTCACCACCAAGAGTCAGTTCTCCTTCTATCACTATATTTGATCCCTTTTACCCTCATCTACTAACCACCACCCCCCCCGCCATCTTACCCTCTGGTAACCACTGAACTACTGTCTGTGTCTATGAGTTTTTGTCTTCTTCCTTTGTTGCTTTCAGTTTTATATCCCACATGAGTGAAGTCATGTGGTTCTTAAATTTTCCTGTCTGACTTATTTCATTTAGCATAATAATCTCAAGATCCTTCCATGTTGTCGCAAATGGCAATATTTCATCTTTTGGCAGACTAGTATTCCATTGTGTATATATAGTAAGAGTCTTGTTTTCTTATCCATTCAGCAACTCTGTTTTCATTAGAGCATTTACTCCATGTACATTGAAAGCAATTGTTGACAGGTATGTAGTTATTGCCATTTTATTTTTCATATTTTTTATCTTCTTCTTCTTCCTTCTTCTCCTTCTCCTTCTTTGTCAAGAAGTCCCTTTAACAATTCTTGTAATATTGGTTTGATGGTGATGAACTCCTTTAGCTTTTTCTTGTCTGAGGAATTCTTTATCTCTCTTCCGATTTTAAATTATAGCTTTGCTGGATAGAGTAATTTCGGTTGTAGATCCTTGCTTTTTATTACTTCAAATGTTTCTGGCCTGCAAACTTTCTGTTGAGGAATTAGCTGACAGTCTTATTGAAGCTTCCTTTAGGTAACTGTCTTTCTCTTGCTGCTTTTAAATTTTTCTCTTTGTCTTTAACTTTTGGCATGTATGATGTGTCTTGGTGTGGGCCTTTTCAGGTTCATCTTGTTTGAGACTCTCTGCACTTCTGGATCTTTTTGTTTAAAGATTTTATTGGGTAATTGGAGGAGGGGAACAGCACTGGGGAATTGGGGGAAGGGGAACAGACAAGTTGCAGTCCTTTTGTTCTTCAGTCTAGTTGTGGAGGACGTTGCTTCACTGGCCCATGTTGGTATTATCATTGTGCTCTTCAGGCTGAGGCAGAATGGTCACCGGCCTCAGGACAGCTGCTTATGGCAGCTCTTGGCAGCTCACACTGGCTGCCAGCTGCTCACGTTGGCTGCCGGCCATACACAGTAGCTTATGGCAGCCCACTGCAGCTTCACTGCAGCCTATGCCATCGCCAGCGACTCATGGCAGCCCAGCTCCAGGTCGAGCTGTTGTTCACCATCTTAGCTGTAGAGGGCAGTGTCACTAGCCCTCATGTGGGATCCGAACCGGGGCCCTGCTGCTCAGAGCCGGCATCCCAAGTCAGCTCTTAACCAATGTGCCACTCAGCCAGCCCTGCACTTCTAGGTCTTATATGTCTATTTCCTTCACCAGGTTAGGGAAGTTTTCCATCACTGTTTCTTCAAATGAGTTTTCAATTCCTTATACTTTCTTTTCTCTTTCTGGTACCCCTATGACATGAATGTTGGTTCACTTCATGTTGTCCCAGAGGCCCCTTAAACTATCCTCATTTTTCAAAATTCTCTTTTCTTTTTGCTTTTCTGATTGGCTGTTTTCTACTAATTTATCTTCCAAATTGCTGATTTGAACCTCTGTTTCATCTAATCTACTGCTGATTCCCTCTAATGTACTATTCATTTAAGTTATTAAATTCTTCATTTCTGATTGGTTCTTTTTTATATTTTCTATCTCCATTTTTATGTTTCCTATCTCTTCATTCAAATTCTCACTGAGATCACTGAGTATCCTTACAAGTAAGTGTTTTGAACTCTGCATATGGTAGACTGGTTGTCATCATTTTGTTTAGTTCTCTTTCTAAAGTTTTGTTCTGTTCTTTCATTTGGGACATATTTCTTTGTCTCCCGATTTGGGCTGCCCTGTGTTTGTTTCTATGTATTAGGTACATCTGCTATGTCTCCCAGTCTAAACAGAGTCCTGTGGGGCTTAGTAATGCAGTCTCCCTGGTCGCTAGAGCTTGTGATGCAGGTGTTTCACTCAATTGAATTGTGTTCACCCTCCTACTGTACTGAGCCTTGGTTGCTGTTTGCATGTCAATGAAAGGGACTGATCTGATTGGTTATGAGGACTGGCTGTGAGTACAACGAAGGAGCTAGTATACATGACTGACCCTATAGACCAGGATTCGCTTTAGCAGGGCTCTTGTACCTGCCCAGTCTGCCCTTTGGGTGTGTAGTCTGTGGAGGTGGCTGGGTGGTGCTCCTCTGCTAGTTGTATCAGCCCCGGGACCTCCTGGGAGGGTCCTTGCTACAGGCCAAGTTTAGCCTCCTCCTGTGCCTTGCCTGGACCACCTGGTATGAGCCACAAAGTGATCCACAGATATCTTCCACCTATTCACTGGGCTTCAAGATACCTGGGGGAGACTAAGCTGTGAGCCAAGGCCAGCTGCCGTTAATGCCGGGCTTGGGGCTACTTAGCAAGAGGTACGGGACACATCAAGGGCAGATGCTGTTTGTTTTGGGTTTGTGAACCTTTGACATATTTGGGGAAAGTCCACAGCATAAGGCAAGATAGGCTATTTGTATGGAAAAGCCACTTATGGGTTGGGCCCATAAGTTGGGTGGGTTGAGATCTCAGGAAATAACCAGGGTGAGTCAAATGGTGTTAGCCAGGTTGATTGAGAACGGATATGGCAGCAGCCTGTGATTGTATGCTGAGAGTCGAGAGGGCCCAACAAAGAAACAATGGCTTTTGCCAGCACCTCCATCAGGGAGAAAACTGCCCTTCCAGCCCTTGTCCTGATTCTAGCAAGCTCAGTTCCTCCCTTTATGTCCCTGGTGCCTTTCGACCTGCTGCTCAAGTGCTGGAGCTAAGAGAAAATGAGTCTGTCAGAAGTAAGTCCGTGAGCAGTCCCTTTAATTGGAACTTCTGGGACTGCAGCCACCCTCCATCTCACTCAGTCACAATTTCCGCTGGGTTTCATAGCCAGAAATTGTGTGGACTTCTCTCCCGGGCACTGGACCCTGGTGTGGAGCTAGAACCTGTCACTCCTCAGAGGGTATCTTGCAGCCCAGAAATATCCCTCCCAATTTTTTAACCACCACATGTGGATGTGGGAACAGCCCATTCGGGTCTCTGCCCCTGCTATCAGTCTCAACATGGCTTCTTCTGTATGTCCTAGTTATAAAACTTCTATTCAGTTGAGCTTCAGGTGTTTCTCAATGATGGTTGTTTTGTAATTTAGTTGTAATGTTGATGTGGTCATGAGAGGATGCAAGTACAGCGATAACCTACTACACCATCTTGACCAAAAATCTTCAGATTTAACATTATCTTTGCTACCAACCAACTTTTATGTTACACACACACACACACACACACACACACACACACACACACACACACGCACGAGCTAGAAGCTTTACTACCCTTCCACTGGAATTCCAAAATGATTAACTTAAAATATTATTCATTCTAAGCATAGAAAACCATCAGAACTCACTAATCCCTTTACATATGCCTCCCCATAAGAAAAATAGCATAAGGGAAAGGGAGCTGTGTATAAGAAATTATTAATTACCTATTGTGTTTTCTCCCAGCTCTAATCCAGGAGACGGATTTGTTAAAATCAGCTGAAATTTTTCATCTCCTTCTGGAATGTCATCATCAAGAATCATGATGTCAACATTTTTGTATCTATTTCCATCAGCAAAATGAAGAATCTGGTTAAAAAAGTAAAAGTAGAACAGTATTATATTTAAATACACTGTGTATTTTTACAGAATGGAAAAACATAGAATATAGTTGAGAAAATGAAGTAAGCTATTTTACAGGGATTTCCCCCCCTCCGTTTTTTTTTTTTTTTTTTTGCATGATCTCTTTTTATCTAAACTGACAACATTGAATTTAAAAAGTAAAATTTGTGGAGGAAGAGAAAGAAACAAACATTTAAATAGGATTAAAATGCATGAAGAGACAGAGTAGAAAGTATTTTAAAATACCGAAAGTGTTTCAGTAAATTAAAAATAAATAAATAAAGGAGTTAAATTTTCAAAAATAAAAGAAACACTCTCAGGTCATTTGATGATATAAATTGTTTAACATGATAATTCTCCAGTATTAAATATTGTGATAAAATAATGAATAAAATAAGAATACTCTTTAGAACAGTACTGAAAATTCAATGTATATATTTTACTAAAATAGTAAAGCGAGCTATCTCACCATGTAGAAGTTTTCAGCCCTAATTTACTATGCAATGTATAATAGTTTATTATTTTAATATTAATTTATTTAAACAGGATTTAAATCACTATAATTCTCAAGGAATTCACCCTTGGGGTAAAGTTGTAATCCAGTCCCAGCTGTGCTTCCAAACTCTGGGCATACACAAATAAGGAAACTTGGCCAAGAGCCCCTTTGCTCCTCTGGGCTATCAATGTTAAACTTCCTTGAGTTTCATTTACTTCAAACCTGTAATAAAAAGAATACATTCATTTTCCCTTATAAGCTTTTATTCTGTAAATAGTAAAGAATCGGAAAATCCGAAAAGGACTCTTATGCAGCCCTAGGCTTACCTGTTATATTGCCATTCGATTATGCCTCGAGCACCATCATTGGCATCAATAATAATTTGTGCAGTCAGTCCCTCTGAATCTGAAAAACAAAACAAAACATAGAAACATACTTTAACATATATATGAATGATTTTAAGAAGAACTATTTGATATAGAATTTAAAGACAGTCTTTTTGAGACTATATAATTCCTAATATAGACATATTGGCAACATTACTCAAAAAATATTTTAAAAAATAAAGATACAAATGCTCATAACATCTGAATAAGAAAACTTTTTGCTCACCAGAGACACTGACTTATACAAATGTAATCAACTGAGGATAATAGGAAATAAGCAACTGAGGTTATAGTTTTATTTATATTATTTTAATCCACTTCAAGAAAAATGGAGACAGATGGAAAGAGGAGAAAGAGCAAGAAGAGAGGCAGAAATGAGAAGAGAGGGAGTACTGCAGAGAAAAATACAGGTGCGGAAGAGAGAGAGAGAGAGAGAGAGAGAGAGAGAGAGAGAGAGAGAGAGAGAGAGATACAAACAGAACTCGAGACAGGAGGTAAAGATGGGGGAAAGGTTAAGAGAATAAAGAGACTACGACTGACGTAAACTTCTCTTGCCCCTTTTTATTTTGTATTCTATCCACCAAGTTTAGTACATTACCAATGCCCATTATTTAGTGTTGAAATAGTAACTAACCTTATTACTGTATATTTTTTTAATAATTTTGTCCTTTATCTTTGAAATTTCAGAGCCACTACCTTTATCTAGGATACTTATGACAGCGTGCCTGGGTGGAGAAGGGGTAGGGAGAATGTAATTCTCTGATTAAAGAGAACACATTGTTGAGGAAAAAATATAAAAATCAGGATCTCTGCCCATCAAACTAGAGGCTGCAAAACAGAAGCCCAGCTCCACTATTTCCTAGCTGTGTGACTTTGGGCTTGTTACTTAGCTTCTCTTAGCCTCAGCTCCCTCATCTGTAAAATGGGAAGATAGAAAAAAAATAAGTGTATTAAAAAAGAAAACACTTGAAAGAGAAGCACTAAAAAACACTCAACAAAAGTTAAACTACTCAAATTACCACTAACATGAGTATGAAAGAAATATGAAGCATTTTGTTCGTTTTCTTAGTGTGAACAATAATTATCTTGTAATAATTACTTGATGTAAACAGCCTAGTCATTGGCGTCATATATTTCTTTCGCAAAATAACTGAAACTTTTAAAACAATAGCAGGTTAAAAGCTTCTTATTTCCTTTTGATATTTCCAAAGTTGTCATATTGAGCCTCAGAAGTGAATAAGGAACCCTCACTCCCCTCGCCACTGCTCTTCACCTTTAACCCAGGTTAATCTCCCCTCTGCCCAGGGCACCTTCTAACTAAGGGTTGGGGGGCAGGCTACCTCAGTGCTACTCACACCTACAAATTTCAGACAAACTTTCCCATATTAAATGTACAAATTTCAAACAGGAGTTTCTGTTTTTAAAAAGGAATGTATCTTTTTAAAGTAATCTACATAAATTTGTACTGAGGTTCAAGTTTTACCTTTCAGCCTGTAATGAATTAACTGACTCTTTTCTAAAGCATGAAAAGAAAGAGAGTAAAGGTCAAAAAAGAAGCAGAGAACACAACAAACAAACGAAAAAACAAAAGCTTTGCTTAACCTAAAATAATAAATAAATAAATAAACTGACAATTTGGAGATCTAATGAAAACAGCAAATAAATTTTTTTTTTTTTAAAGTTTTTTTGGGGAATTGGGGGAAGGGGAACAGACAAGTTGCTGTCGTTTTTTGTTCTTCAATCTAGTTGTGGAGGATGTTGCTTCACTGGCCCAAGTTGGCACCATCATTGCGCTCTTCTCTGGCGAGGCAGATCAGTCGCCGGCTTCTGGACGGCCGCTCACTGCGGCTGCTGGCCGCTCATGCTGGCTGCTGGCCGCTCACGCTGGCTGCTGGCTACATACGGTAGCCCATGGCAACCCACTGCCACAGGGAGTGCAGCCTACGCCGTCGCCGGCGACTCATGGCAGCCCAGCTCCAGGTTGAGCTGTCGTTCAGCATCTTAGCTGGGGAGGGCAGTGTTCACTGGCCCTCATATGTGGGATCCGAACCGGGGCCCTCTGGCATCCCAAGCGAGTTCTTAACCATCGCGCCACTCGGCCGGCCCCAAATAAATTTTTAAAAGAAAATGCCTTCCTAAGAATTAGTTATATTTTGAAGATTACAAATTTGGTTATAAAATTGTTGTAAAATGTAAAAAGCATCACACAATAATTCTTAAATATGTTTACACTGTCCAATGGTACAAGTTACCATGATAGTCTCTAAATTAAATCTAAAAGCGTAATTATTTGCACACATAGCTGAGATTAATAAACATCACAAAGACCATTTCTGATTTATAAAACAAAGTAACTTTACTTAGTTTGTAGTGAGTAAACAGAAAAAAAAAACAAACAAACACAAATCCATCATACCTAGTCTAGGAGGAAATGAAGTCAAAGGAGCCGTGATAAGTTCAACATAAGTTAAGTTCACGAGGAAATATTCTTCTAGTTCTGGTATATCGTCCTGCAAAAAATTACACCCATTAAATTCCTTAAAACTATGCTCTCAAAGTAATTACTCTCACAGCTGTTTTTTAAAATTATCTTATACATATATATACTTAAATAGTATACAGAGAATAGAAAAATGCAAACATAGAGAATCAGAAATTAACCTGTCAGGAAAAATAAACACATCTTAGCAATAATTTTTTTTTTATTTGACACCAAAAGCAAAAGCAACAGAAGCAAAATAAGCAAACTCAAAAGTTCTTCACAGCAAAGGAAACCATCAACAAAATGAAAAGGCAACCTGTGGAATAGGAGAAAATATTTACGAAACATATATTTGATAAGGAGTTAATATCAAAAATATCATAAATACATAAGCTCAATACCAAAAAACAAATAATCTGATTAAAAAATGTGTGGAGGAACCAGACATTTTCCCAAGGAAGATATACAAATGGCCCACAGGTACACGAAAAGGTGCTCAACATCTCTAATCATCATGGAAATGCAAACAAAAACCACAATGAGATATCACCTTTTATCTGTTAAAATGGATATTATAAAAAAGACAAGTGGCTACAAAAAATTATACTCTACCAACCAAAGCTATTATTTAAAATCAAAGGAGAGATAAAGAGCTTCAGAGACAAAAAAAAAAAAAAAGCTAAAGGAGTTCCTCACTACCAGACCAGTATTACAAGAATTGTTACAGGGACTTAAGAAAAAGAAGAAAAGGGGACTAAAAAATGTGAATAATAAAATGGTAATAACTACATATCTATCAACAATTACTTTAAATGTAAATGGATTAAATGCTTCAATCAAAAGACACAGGGTAGATGAATGGGTAAGAAAATAAAACCCATATATATGCTCTCTACAAGAGATTCACTTCAGATTGAAATACAAAGAGAATGAAAGCAAAGGGTTCAAAAAAGATGTTCATGAAAATGGAAACAAACAAAAAAGAGCTGGGATAGCAATATTTATAACAGACAAAATAGACTTTAAAACAAAGGCAAAGTAACAAGAGACAAAGAAGGACCCAGTAATCCCACTTCTGAGTATTTATCTGACGAAACCCAAAACACTACATTGAAGGGACATATGCATTCATATGTTCATTGCAGCATTATTTACAATAGTCAAGATATGGAAAGAGCCATATCCAATGGATGAATGGATAAAGAAGAGGTGAGATATACACACACACACACACACACACACACACACACACACGGAATATTAGCCATAAAAAAGAATGAAATCTTGCCATCTACAACAACTTGGATGGACCTAGAATGTATTGTGCTGCATGGAGTAAGTCAAACAGAAAGACAAAAGCCATATGATTTCACTTATAAGTAGAATCTAAAGAACAAAATAAATGAACAAATAAAAAAGAAACAAACTCATAAATGCAGAGAACATTTTCATGGTTGTCAGCTGGGTGGGGGTTGGGAGATGGATGAAAAGGAAAGGGATTAAGAAGTACAAATTGGCAGTTACAAAATAGTAACAGGTGGCCGGCCAAGTGGCTCAGTTGGTTAAAAGCTCACTCAATAGTTTGAGCTCTGAGCAACAGCAGTTCGATGCCAAGCCCGAGCTGAGCAGCCGCTGAGCTGCCAACAAGTGGCAGGATGGCTCAGCTTAAAAAAAAAAAAAAAAGTAACAGGGATGTAAAGTACTGCCTAAGGAATATAGTCAATAATATTGTAATAACTATGTATGATGTCAGATGGGTACTGGCTTTATCGGGGTGATCACTTCCTAAGTTATAGAAATGTCTAATCACTATGTTGTACACCTGAAACTGATACAATATTGTATGCCAACTGAAAAAGAAAAAAACAATTATTAAAAAAAAAGACACGAGGTAAGTGTTGGCAAGGATATGGAGAAAGGGGAACCTTGTGTGCTGTTGGTGGGAATGTAAATCGGTGCAGCCACCATGCAAAACAATATGGAGGTTCCTCAAAAAATTAAAAATAGGACTACCATATATTCCAGCAATCGTACAACTGGGCATGTATCCAAAGGAAATGAAACTGGATAGCAAAGATATATCTACACTCCCATACAGTATTATTCACAGTAGCCAAGATACGAAAAGAACCTAAGTGTTTGTCAACGAATGAATGGGTGAAGAAGATGCATGCACATGCACACACATGCACATGCACGCACATACACGCACGCACACACACGCACACACGCGCATGCACACACACACACGTATATATACAAACACATACACAATGGAGTATTATTCAGCCATGAGAAAGAAGTAAATCCTGCCATTTGTGGCAGCATGGATCAAGCTTGAGACCATTAGGCTAAGTGAAATAAACCAAACAGATGGAGACAAATACTGCATGGTATCACTAATATGTGGAATTAAAAAAAAAAAGTCAAACTCATAAAATCAGAGAGTAGAAAATTGGTTGCTGGCAGGGATGAGAGGCTGGTAAAAGAATACAAACTCAGCTGCAAGATGAATAAGGTCTGAGGATCCAATGTAAAACATGTTGACCATAGTTGATAACACTGTATTGCATAATTGAAATTTGCTAGGAGAGTACAACTTACATGTTCTCACACACAGGAAAAGATAAATATGTGAAGTGATGGATGTGTTGATTAACTAGATGGGGGAACCTCTTCATAATGTATACAGATATCAAATCACCAAATTATACACTTTAAATATCTTACAATCTTGTATATTTTTTAGATTCTATAGAATTGATACCATGCAGTATTTGTTAATTATACTTCCATAAAGCTGAAAGTATTTTAAAAGCATAAAAGTATTAAACTTATACCTTGTTGTATGATAAATTATTAGTTTGAACCACATGAAATGGCTAATATATCATTTTTTATCTAGACACATATAATATGTAAACCAATTATATAAATATACAAATTTAATATTTTCAATAGGAGCAAAATATTTAAAATCACATTATTATCATGATTAGAATGAAGATTATAATGATATTTTGAAAAAAATACAGGTTTTGCAGTCAAGGAAATGTAGTACCAAATTCTTAAAGTTGAGCTGCTTAAAATTAAAGGCCTCAATTCTGCCATCTTTATAATGGGGAAATAATAGCTATTTTGGGGATTGTAATAATTATTAAAAAATGTGTACAGAGACCAGCTGAATGGCTCAATTGGTTAAGAGCTTGCTCAAGAGTGCGAGCTCTGAACAACAAGATCGCCGGTTCGATTCCCACATGGGCCAGTGAGCTGCACCCAAGGTGAGCTGCCACTGACCTGCCAACAGGTGGCAGGATGGCTCAGCTGGTGAGAGCACGTGCTCTTAACAACAAGATTGTCTGTTCGAGATGCTGGGCTATGCCCACCTTCATGTAAAGACTGGGCACCTTAAGCTGAGCTGCCACTCGGGTGGCTCAGGGGATAGAGCATGCACTCTTGGCAACAAGGCTGCCGGTTCGACTCTTGCATGGGATAGTGGCTATACCCACCTGCAACTAGAACACAGCACCTTGAGCTGAGTGGCACCACTGGGCTTGGAGCTGAGCTTGCTGCACCCTCCACAACTAAGATTGAAGGACAACAACTTGGCTGTTTCCCTTCCCCAATTCTCCAACACTGTTCCCCTCCCCGAATTCCCCAATAATATCTTTAAAATAATAATAATAATAATGTGTACAGAGTACCTGGCCTAAAGAGAGTCTTTAAAAAGTGAGATAGCTATTTGTGTTGGTTAATTTTAATACATTATCACTATTAATCACTAGTCTACACAATTGCAGTGAAAAGTGCTCAAAACATGAGGACTAGCAAACTGCATGTCAGTAGTGACCAGACGACAATATTTACATAGAAACCCAATGTGTGTGTGTGTGTGTGTGTGTGTGTGTGTGTGTGTGTGCAATCAGTACATACACACCAACCTACACTTCTCTCTTCATTTTATTTAACAGAGATATGTTTCCATGTGAAAAAAAACAAGAAAATCAAGGTCACAGCCTCTAAACTATCTTACATAATATATTGTACAAACCAATGTGAGTTACAGAATCAGTGACGTAAAAGAGACTGTCCCCCACCTATCCTACCCCAACAATTCCCTACCCCCATGCAACAACTCTCCCCTTATCACCCCTCAGCCTGGCTTATTTCTGTACAGACAGGCCTGCAATCTCTTCATCTTGTGCTACTCGGGCAACAGAAAAGGCGGCAAAGACCTGGGGTTTGGGGAGTGGGGACTGGAATCCCTGTGTTCATCAAGCTAGACCCTGTAAAGAAAAGAAAGGTGGCTATATGTTTTCTATATGTTTAAAAACTAACATATCTGAGGAATACTCCATTTATTTCTATTCTATTACATTACTGTATTATATATTTTTAAAAAGACTTAACTTAAAACTGTATCAAATTTTCTGTTGTATGTCACATACGTCATATTACCATAATTATATCTTATGGCTTTAGAGATCTCATACTATTATATTAGGTCACAGTGCCATGGCAATCAACAAAATGAGGGTTACTGAGTTCAGATGATAGATGATTACATACACTACTTATAATAATTTTGTAAAAGCAAAAGGCCTCTGAGAAAAATGAAACCTTTTAAAAATAGAAATCCCAAAACATACAGTAACTGAAAAATATTTCTCTAAGACAAAATTCATTCTCTCTCTTTCTCTCCCCAACTCCCCACACGTATAACATCTCCTACCCTCGCCGTATGTTCTATTTTCATAAACGTCTTGCAAATGTATTTAGGTAGCTGAAACACTAAGCCCCCAAACAGCATGAGATTATATTTCACAATACGAAAAATCATTGAAAACACAATTTCAGTCACCAATGACTAAGCTTGACTGTAATCACATTTTTTTTTGCCATCAACCTCTAATGAGTCTTTCAGTATCTCCAATTTAATCAGTCCTAACAAGTAAGATGCCGACTTAGATGAATTTGCTGGTCCAATGAATCCTTTGGAGAAATCAAAATACTCCTTTAGAATCTCATAGGCCAATGCCATCTTAAAGGGGACTGCCCTAAGGAAATTCTCTTTATCACATGTTTCTATAATAAAATACACAACAGGAGAGCAGCCTACCTAGACAAGAACAGAAATCTGTGTGTGGTTAAAAAGTTCACAAAAAGAAATAAGCTGATTTAAAGGCATCTGAATATCCATCAATTTCTACCTTCTAAGTGGTTATTCGGTTTAATGCAGTAATGGCAAAATAAAAGCCTTACCTCAAGTATAGTTACGTTGACGGCTGCTGCTGTTTCCCCTTCTTTTAAAATCAGAAAGCCAACAACCGGAACAAAGTCAACATCTGGCTCAGCTAGGTTTCCTTCTGTTTGGTTTTTTACACTCAACATTCCAGGAACGGTGGTGTATGTGACATTAATGGCTCCTAATTGAATTGGACGACAAAAGACTTTATAACTATTTAAACTTTTAAAATAATATCTCATTGGGGACGCTCTGACTTTCCTAAAAGCACCTTCAGTAGCTTGTATTATTAGGCCCAATTCCTCATCTGTCCCCCTATCCTTGACCTTTACCATGTAATGGCTCGGTGGTGTCCCTCTGTGGGCAGGCATACTGCCCTCCCTTAGACTCTGAGTTTGGCCATGTGACTTGTTTTGGCTGATAGTACAAGATTATAGTGATAATGTGTTAGTTTTGAGCCTAGACCTCAGGACAACTGGCGTGTTTTTGCTTGCTTTTTTGTACCTCTACTGGTCTCAGAAGAATGAGAGACATATGGATTACAGCCACCACAAGCTCAGCCTAGGTTAGTGGACCTATAGCCAACCTATTATTATACGATGGTAAGATTTTATGACTGTTACATAGCATTTCTGTGACAACAGAAAATTCCTGTATTTTTTCAAAACTAAAAAAGTTATCAAGTCCTGTCCTGAATTAATACATGTTAAAGTTTTTCTGACCCTGATTTATTTCAGCAATGGCTTTCGTCCACACAAGCAGAATATTTAAAAAGCACCTGCCTGGAAACCCCATGCACTCTAGAGCAACACAAACCTAGAGATCCGAATTCTCTGTTGATGAAAAGCTGAATTGTTATGTTAGCCTCTTGGAGCACAACAAATCTTGATGAAAGAGCAAAGTTTAAAACTCCGTGTGGTTCATCACTGGCTTCTACCGTCAGGACCGCGGCATATCCTTGAGCATCAAGCACAGCAATTCCTGCTGGTGAAACTCCTAAGGTTGGAGGGGCCATGAGAAATCTGACAGTGATTTGGCATTTACTTCTAAACACTGAAATACATATTACCCCACTCTCTGAAACATATTCAAGTAGCTAGAAAGTGTTCCCTTTTGTTCACTTCTCTAACAGGAATCTTCTGGTTGACAAACAGAAACTATTAATACAGTTTTAGCTTTCTTTTTCTAGACAGTAAATCATGAATTTTTTTCGCTTGATATATTATGTTTGCTAGACTGGTCATCTCAAATACAGGAATTAAGTAGAAACTAAGGAAAGTACCCAGATAATTTGCTCTAAATTAAGTTTGAAATATCCATATAATTGGTCTAAATCCAAATTGGTCTGCAGTATAAAATTCATTACAGAAAAATTCTTCCTTTGGAAATGTATTTCATTTCACAAGAAAAAATTAAGCAAAATTTTTAGAGATTTTCCCTGAGTCCATAAAGATAAGTATTCCCATCCTGAGCTGATTTTTTTTGGATCTAACATTTTTATGGAACAGGTGGTATTTAAAGTAACTTGTTTTTTAATTGGTGTGTATCTAACTGCTAAATATAGAGATAGCAACTATTATTTTTTCTGAAAAGAATAATATACCAGCAAAAATTTAAAATTGAATTCTGAATTACCTTGTGTCCTGACATTGTACAGAATGACTTGGTATACTTCTTTCTCTTCAGGAATGTTGTCATCCAACAAATGCACAAATATTGTTTTATTCAATGACCCCTATGTCAAACACAAAGAAATTCATCCCTCTATTGTCCCTCAACACAAAACGTCTCCTGCTTTTACTGGCTTTAAAAATCACGCACCCAAACATATTTTTATTTAAAGTGTTTTGTGTCTTAAAAGTTAACTATATTAAAATCATTCACTCATGGGAAACCAGGCTTAAAGCAAATAGGGACTAACTAGGGAAGATCTTGAACGCTGAGCTAATGCATGTAGATCTGATCCAATGAGTAATGTAGCACTATTGACAAATTTCATCGGGGAGAGTCTATGGCAGTAGTGAATAGGGAAAACTGGAACATGGAAAAGCAGACCAGTACTGCAGGGAGACCAGGTATTAAGAGTCCAATTCAGGACTCAAGGCCAAAGGTTATAGGGGCTTAGCTTACTACTGAGACAGTGGAAATAAGAATTAAACACTTTATCAAACAAAAATTCATACCAAGTGAGTGTGGAAAAGGGAGGAAGATGAGAGAGTTACAATAAAGTGGTGATTTTCTAAGAAGTGCTTTTATAAAGGTATTTCCCACCAATCAACTTCTTTCAAACTATCAGGAACAGCCTCCAAATAGAACCTCAAAAATATATTTTTAACATGATCCTCGTGTAATACTTTGTCAACAGGACACAAAAAGTCATTTATTTTTAGAGCTATATTTGCTGTTGTTATACATTTAAATTTCCAAGACAGGAATAAGAGAAGAGGGACAAGCACTATCTATCCTTCATGTTCAGAATGATACAGCTGACAACAAAAGCGGGAGGCCAGGAGAGAAAGAAGCAAGAGAGCTTGGAGCGAACACAAAGCTGATGTTTTCTGTTTCCTTAAAGGAGATGCACCAAGTACATATAGGAGAACAAAACAATCCCTTAAGTCTTAGAAATTCTTTTTTGAGTCATGTACTTCCCTTTAGGTTTCTAAGCAAGTAACTCTCCCATCAATCTGCACTAATCCTGTATTACATAATCAGTTTTCCCATTTTTCTCAAAATACACTGTTTACTCTAGATATTTTTGGTAAAGCTCTTCTTGGTGGTATTACCTCAGAAAAGAAGAGTTGTCCAGTAAAGTTAGCAAAATTGAGTTCTAGGTTATGTCCAGTAATTTTCCAATTAACAGTAACATTTCCTCGACCAGGGGGTGTTCTTATCACATGAAATTGTAAAATTTCTCCTGCAAGTGAAATGTACAGATGGATAAATACTCAATGGAAAATGAATTTAACGTTTGAATTCAACAAAACCCAAATCCCAAACATGCAACCATTACAGTACCATTTCTAGAACATTACAAAGCAGTTCTGTTTTGAATTTTCTAGAAGCTTTGTACATGCTCATTGTTTATTAACTCAGGAATCTCACTTCTAAATACCACTATTTAGTAGAATTTCAGGAAGTTCGATATGTAGATGTTACAAAAGCACATGCTGAAATGGGAAACACAAACTTTTATACACTCCAAAACATGCACCAGAACATAAATGTTCTGTAAATTTAAGAAAATAATAAAGTTCTCACGGTCAAAACTAGTAATAACACAAGTAAACTCTTCCTTCACTTTTCAAAAGGACACAAATTCCTTACACTGATATGCAATGTGATTTTACACAATGCATGCATAAATATGCTTGCAAATACCTGAAAATCACATTTCTTTAAATTGTAACTTACATATACCATCAATGATTTTGTTTTACAAAAAGAAATACAAAGGAAAGGTGTCAATCTGTACATCGACTTCTGTAACTTCACCAAAGTTACAGTTATCCTTGCTGGATAATTGAGGTGTTTTAGATACTTTCCATTCTTGGCTTTTATCCTCATGTAATACTTAATACAATTGAAGAAAATCATGATAGTCATTTCTTTCAAACCGTTAAAAGTGGAATGTAAGCTCCTAGGGAGTACTGCTGCTGACCATGTGGCTTGGTGAAAATGTGCTCAATTCAGAAGTCTCGTATGATGATGAACACAAGTTAAGGTATACTAATGAACTACATCACTAAAAAATAATTACTATTATGGAAAGATAAATGGAATGATGTTTGAAAGGTTTTAAAAGAACACATCCTTATTTGAACCTTACACCATTGAAATATAGTTGAAATTCATGCATATTCATTAAAAATATCACTTTTACTTAGTTATCCAAATAAGTAAACACATCTGACACTTATATTTAAATGAGAAGAGTAGAAATGAAACAATAAAATATGAACACCTTTTTCAAATATTTTCTAAACTACAATTTTTTAATTTCTGAAGATAATAAAAATAAAAACTATTACTAACAGAAAGGTTCCTTAAATTAAAATGTCATGGATTAATTTAGAGGTTATACTAATTTCAATTACTAAAAAAAAAAAAAAAATTAAATTTGCACACTACCTTTAAACACACATAACTTTAGAATAATGAATTATTTGGAGAGACTGAATATAAGAAGGCAAAAGTATCAGAAAGATGTCTATATAAGATTTCCCCAGTAGAGCTGAAACTAATTCTAAAAAATGTGTATTTCATAATAAAAAATAATTTTTTAAAAAAACAGTAAAAAAAAAAAAAAATTTCCCCAAAGACTTCAATGATCAATTCATAAAATTTTTAAGTGTTTCAATACAAAAAGAAGTTTTAGTCACCATTCTATTACTAGTATGTCTTGTTTTGTTTTGTTTTTTAAAAAAACAACTCACTGGGACTGCTAGTTAGGAACCAGATTCTTCACAGACTATAACTGAAAGACTGTACAATGAGCCATAATTCCAACATACTATTTAAAATTTTTATACTTGTATAACTCATATGAGCAAAATATAGGCACTACTGTGAAACCCTGAAGTATCTCTTGTACACCACGCAGATTTTATCATAGAGCATGTTTGTATTGAACAAAAAGGATTAACTGTTGAAAGGCATTAGGAGAGCCATAGAGTTATCAAGCTGTTTCACCTATAGGGCTGACTGGTGATACAATTAGAAATGTTTATAGAGTCATGGTTTTCAAATTTTTTTACAATCACAAAGCCTAGTAATAAAACCTAGTAATACTTCAAAACTAAAATGATGGAAGCTTGATCAGTGCTAAAAATATAGTAAGATACAAGTGGCAAAAAAAAACCAAAATATAGGTTAACAAAGACCCATGTTGAAGGAATCCTATGGTCGTGATAAATAATATATATATATATATATATGGTTGCAAGATTGTACATAGTGATTTGGAAATAAATACACCATTACAAGGTAAAAGTAAAAATAAAAATGAAACGCTTAACAGAGAAAAAAAAAAAAGTAAAATCCTCCTACAACTTAAACACATAATCTTGTAAGCCTGGTGCAAACTGTGTCAACAGCATGAATATTGTCAATTTTTTTCTAATGAATAAGCAAAATGAAGGTGCTGACTCTGCCTCTTTAAGGCAGAATCCCAGGAACCAGGTCCATTTAAAATGCCTCCTGGGAAAAGTTACCAGAAAGTTACCTTCTAACTGGATGAGGAGTAAAAGAACAGTCTTTGGAAAAGGAAAAACTAAGAAAAAAACTAAAAAACTGTGCTTACATCTTCTAAATATAAGGGAAGGACAGAAGGTAGATCTGAGCAAGGAAAGCTAAATTTTTCGGATAACATTTTAGTAGGTGCTAGTTTTTGCCCGGAATGAATACCTAAGGAGAGCCCTCAACTATCAGAGAATCTAGCTATATATCTGGAAGAGAATCCTGACAGAAATCTATAGAGTACACCAAAAGTTGATGGTACACTTGAACTCTAAAGCAGAAGTTCTATTTATCACATAGTGTCTAGGCCTAATACAGATAAGGAATATTAATATAAAATGCATTTTAATAATCCTGAGTATTTCGTACATTTGTTAGCAAAACAAACAAGGATTCTTTTTACAAAGGTAAGCATTCACTATTATACAATGTGTGTAAAAACAATAGAAAAATAACAGAAAATATATTTTAATAGCTACATGTACCATCTAAAGTGATTTCCTTCTACAATAAATAGTAAATGATTTAAAATAATTATAGGGATATGACTAATGTGAAACACAAACTATCAATATGAACAGCTAAGAAAAATGTTTTCCTAATACAGTCAGCCCTCCATATCCCTGGGTTCCTCATCTGTGTATGCAACCAACCACAGATTAAAAATATTAAAAAACAATAAAAATAAAAACATGCATTGTTGCTTCGTACTATGTAGTTACATCTGTACTGAACATGTACAGATGTTTTCCTTGTCATTATTCCCTAAATAATACAGTATAACAACTACTCACATTGTATTAGGAATTATAAGTAACCTAGAGATGAATTAAAGTATATGGGAGGATGTGTGTACGTTATATGCAAATACTATGCCATTTTATATAAGGGACTTGAGTATCCCCAGATACTCTGTGGGGGTCCTATTCCCCCACAGATACTGAAGCACAATTGTATAGCTGGTTCTATATATATATATATATACATTTTTTATAGAATCACATTTCTTGTTCAAGCCTGTGCCTAAAAAAGATTCATGCTGTCTCTATAAAAAGAAAAAAGTTTAAATCCATTGAACATGACATGATGATTATGATGCTGCGGAATTGGGTGACTGAGTAAAACATACAGATTTCATAAAGAGCATATTTATACATAGTTTGCAACCACTGTAAAAATCTATTGTTCCACATTTCTAAACTGTGCCCATTATATTTGAAAGAAAGTAACATTTACCACTGAGCACCTGTTCAACTGCTTTAGGACAAAAACGTAGAAATGGGATTCCACCGAATTTAGTACACTGTTAAACACGGAGGCATTCCTCTCCATGAATCAGAAATGCATTCTACAGCCAGAAGTTCAGCATAAGCCATGCTTTCAATCTAATCACATAAATGACATTCCAGCACCAGGCCAAACCACTGTTAATATTGTTAAAAGGCCACATGACATGATTGGTGTTTTTTTTACCCCATTTGATTAGCAGTTATCTTTGAAAAATCACCATGAAGCCTTCATTAATTCATTTTGGTAAACTTAGGCTTGATAAATATTTCTCTATGCAATTTCATGGTAATATAAAGAATATACACACAAAATACTAATTGAGGTAAATAAAACATTTTTTATAAAAAAAAATAATTTAGACCCTATAAAAAGCTTTAGGAGTAAAGGGATAGAAAAATGAGTTTAAAATAGGAATTCATCCCAATTTTTATTTAGAAAATGTAAAAAAACTCCAGGGAGCACTTATGTAAACAATAAAAGCAATTCAGTGTTTTATTTTCTGTACCAATCTCACGCTTATAGGTTTATATGCTATACCAGGTTTTTAAGCAATAACACATTCAGAACATTTGTTTTAATTACTAATCCCCTTTTCCTCTTTGCATCGCCAGCAGATATGTAGTTATTGAAAACAAATACACCACAATCTGACTTGGAGGTTAAGTTCATCCACGTGAAAGACAGCATAGGTGCTAGAGTCTGCAAGATGATGTGATGCTATCAGTAGAACCTAGGTTTCTTCACAGCCCTCCCATCCACCACCACCATCACCACTCAGACTCCCATAGGATGCACTTGTGTTGCCTTACAGCTACCTCCAGGACCGACCCCTGCTGCATTAGCCCCTGACCCAGTCGGTCATGAGAGAGTGTCTCAGCATTCCTGAGACTCGATGGAATGATATCGGTCACCTCCCCTATATGGAAGGACACAGTAACAAAGCGTCCTGGGGGCTGTGTAGTTATGTATGAAGGCATAGCATTTGTTGGAATACAATGGGAGCTGGTTATGGAAAACAGCCTTAAGGCACGTAGCAATGGATCTTTGAAAAATGAGTTTCACTTCCTTGTAGGATCTCAATAAAAGCCATGCGTTGACCCGATTCGGGGCTCAGTCTTCCAGGCTGGGTCCCTTGGTCTCGCTCTTATCTGACTTTTGTCTCTTGTGCTTATTCAATCTGCATCACCCCTCTCCTGTCCCATTTGCCCTTGCCACGCAGGACGTGACACACTTGCACAACAATAGCTGCTTTACAGTAAAGATCCCTTTAAAGTGACACTGGGCATCCAAAGTCTGTAGTATTATTTTTTTTTAAATCTGTGATATTGTTGAAAATCATATACCTAATCTATCTCTAAGTCTTTCCTTAAATCTAATCCTTCCTGGTCCCCGATATTATTTCTACCCTCTATATCACGAGGACTTTTATTGTCTTCTACATTATTTTCTTTCTTATTTTTCTTCAACAAAACAAAAACAATTCCAAAATAATCCATTTTCTCCAATTTTTCTCCTTTCCTTGCTCTCATGGCCAATAAGCAGACTATCTCCTAGGGCAGTGCTTCTCAAACTTAATGCAGTGAAGGACAAGGGGTTTTTTGCTTGCTTCTTGTTTTGTTTGCCCTGCTCTATCATAGACTAAC